ATTACATGGTGCACCAATATCATGATATCTGTCCCAAAATAAAACAAGAAAAACAGTGAAATCACAGATATCATGTAATCTTGAAATCTATGGGTAGATTACATGCTTACCAAACGATGCTTTACCTTTTTACTTTTCGACAAAAATGTTCGGCCCGGCCATTTGTTTTCTTCTCTCATAGATAATGTAACATCACAGTTTTCGGGCGATTTTTTGAAATGATCATTTTTGTTGAATTTTAGAGGCTACAGATCGCGAATTCGGTCTGAGGCAATCTGGGACTATTGTCCACCGACAATGAAGTCAATTAATCGCGGATTTGGGCGAAAAATATTCCGGGAGGCATTTTCGTAATTTTCCGCTCGTTTTTTCGGAAGGTCAATTTCATTGGATTTTAAAGGCTTCGGATCACGGATTCGGCCAAAGGCTATTCTTAATTGATGGTTAAGTCTATTAAGCACCAATTCGGGCGTATTGTTCCGGGCCCATTTTTTGGCATTTCCAAAGAGGTAACATCACATATTTCGAGCAATTTTTTGGAATGGTCATTTTTGTTGGATTTTGGAGGCTACAGATCCCGGATTCGGCCTGAGGCGATCTGAGGCTATTGTCCATCGATGATGAAGTCAATTAATCGTCGATTTGGGCAAAAAATGTTTCGGGGGCATTTTCGTAATTTTCCGCACGCTTTTTCGGAAGGCCATTTTCATTGGATTTTGAAGGCTTCGAATCACGAATTCGGTCTGAGACTATCCTTCACCGACGGTTAAGTCTATTAAGCACCGATTCAGGCATATTTGTTCCGGGCCCATTTTTGGCATTTTCCAAAATCACAAATTTCGGGCGATTTTTTGGAATGGTCATTTTTGTTGGATTTTGGAGACTACTGATCTCGGATTCGGCCTAAGCCGATCTGGGGCTATTGTCCACCGATGATGAAGTTCATTAATCGCCGATTTGGGCGAAAAATGTTCCAGGGGGCATTTTCATAAATTTTCGCTCGCTTTTTTGGAAGGCCATTTTCCTTGGATTTTGAAAGTTTCGGATCACAGATTCGGGCTGAGCCTATCCTTCACCGATGGTTAAGTCTATTAAGCATCGATTCTGGCGTATTTGTTTCGGGCCCATTTTTGACATTTTCCAAAGGGGTACATCACAAATTTCGGGCTATTTTTTGGAATGGTAATTTTTGTTAGATTTTGGAGGCTACAGGTCGCGGATTCGGCCTTAGGCGATCTGGGGCTATTGTCCACTGATGATGAAGTCAATTAATCGCCGATTTGGCGAAAAATGTAACGGGAGGCATTTTCGTAATTTTCCGCGCGCTTTTTTGGAAGGCCATTTTCCTTAGATTTTGTAGGCTTCGGATCACGGATTCAGCCTGAGGCTATCCTTCACCGATGGTTAAGTCGATTAAGCATTGATTCGGGCGTATTTGTTTCGGGCCCATTTTTGGCATTTTCCAAAGGGGTATCATCACAGATTTCGGGCTATTTTTTGGAATGATCATTTTTGTTGGATTTTGGAGGCTACAGATCGCGGATTCGGCCTGAGGCAATCTAGGGCTATTGTCCACTGATGATGAAGTCAATTAATCGCCGATTTGGGAGAAAAATGTTCCGGGAGGCATTTCCGTAATTTTTCGCTCGCTTTTTCGGAAGGTCATTTTCCTTGGATTTTGAAGGTTTTGGATCACGGATTCGGCCTGAAGCTATTCTTAACCGATGGTTAAGTTTATTACGCACCAATTCGGGCGTATTGTTCCGGGCCCATTTTTTGCATTTTCCAAAGAGCTACATCACAGATTTCGGACGATTTTTTGGGAATGGTCATTTTTATTGGATTTTGGAGGCTAAAGATCGCGGATTCGACCTGAGGCGATCTGGGGCTATTGTCAACCGATGATGAAGTCAATTAATAGTCGATTTGGGCGAAAAATGTTCCGGGGGGCATTTTCGTAATTTTCCGCACGCTTTTTCCGAATGTCATTTTCCTTGGATTTTGAAGGCTTCGGATCACGAATTCGGCCTGAGGCTATTCTTAACCGATGGTTAAGTCTATTAAGCACCAATTCGAGAGTATTGTTCCGGGCCCATTTTTGGCATTTTCTTAAGAGGTAACATCACAGATTTCGGGCGATTTTTTTGGAATGGTCATTTTTGTTGGATTTTGGAGGCTACAGATCGCGGATTCGACTTGAGTCAATCTGGGGCTATTGTCCACCGATGATGAAGTCAATTAATCGTCGATTTGGGCGAAAAATATTCTGGGGGCATTTTCGTAATTTTCCGCATGCTATTTCGGTAGGCTATTTTCATTGGACTTTGAAGACTTCGAATCACGAATTCGGTTTGAGGCTATCCTTCACCGACAGTTAAGTCTATTAAGCACCGATTCGGGCGTGTTCGTTCCGAGTCCATTTTTGGCATTTTCCAAAGGGTTACCATCATAGATTTCGGGCTTTTTTTTTTAATGATCATTTTTGTTGGATTTTGGAGGCTACAGATCGCGGATTCGGCCTGAGGCAATATGGGCTATTATCCACAGATGATGAAGTCAATTAATCGCCAATTTGGGGGGAAAATATTCTGTGGGCAATTTTGTAATTTTTCGCGCTCTTTTTCGGAAGGCAATTTTCCTTGGATTTTGAAGGCTTCGGATCACGGACTCGGCCTAACGCTATCCTTCACCGATGGTTAAGTTTATTACGCACCAATTCGGGCGTATTGTTCCGGGCCCATTTTTTGCATTTTCCAAAGAGCTACATCACAGATTTCGGACGATTTTTTGGGAATGGTCATTTTTATTGGATTTTGGAGGCTAAAGATCGCGGATTCGACCTGAGGCGATCTGGGGCTATTGTCAACCGATGATGAAGTCAATTAATAGTCGATTTGGGCGAAAAATGTTCCGGGGGGCATTTTCGTAATTTTCCGCACGCTTTTTCCGAATGTCATTTTCCTTGGATTTTGAAGGCTTCGGATCACGAATTCGGCCTGAGGCTATTCTTAACCGATGGTTAAGTCTATTAAGCACCAATTCGAGAGTATTGTTCCGGGCCCATTTTTGGCATTTTCTTAAGAGGTAACATCACAGATTTCGGGCGATTTTTTTGGAATGGTCATTTTTGTTGGATTTTGGAGGCTACAGATCGCGGATTCGACTTGAGTCAATCTGGGGCTATTGTCCACCGATGATGAAGTCAATTAATCGTCGATTTGGGCGAAAAATATTCTGGGGGCATTTTCGTAATTTTCCGCATGCTATTTCGGTAGGCTATTTTCATTGGACTTTGAAGACTTCGAATCACGAATTCGGTTTGAGGCTATCCTTCACCGACAGTTAAGTCTATTAAGCACCGATTCGGGCGTGTTCGTTCCGAGTCCATTTTTGGCATTTTCCAAAGGGTTACCATCATAGATTTCGGGCTTTTTTTTTTAATGATCATTTTTGTTGGATTTTGGAGGCTACAGATCGCGGATTCGGCCTGAGGCAATATGGGCTATTGTCCACAGATGATGAAGTCAATTAATCGCCAATTTGGGGGGAAAATATTCTGTGGGCAATTTTGTAATTTTTCGCGCTCTTTTTCGGAAGGCAATTTTCCTTGGATTTTGAAGGCTTCGGATCACGGACTCGGCCTAACGCTATCCTTCACCGATGGTTATGTCGGACGATTTCGGGCAATTTTTTCTCGTTTTTGTTGGATTTTGGAGGCTAAAAATCGCGGAACCGGCCTGAGGCGATCTGGGGCTATTGTCCACCGATGATGAAGTCAATTAATCGTCGATTTGGCAAAAAAACGTTCCGGGTGGGGATTTCGTATTTTTCCGCGCGCTTTTTCGGTAGGACATTTTCCTTGGATTTTGAAGGCTTCGGATCACGAATTCGATCTGAGGCTATCCTTCACCGATGGTTAAGTCTATTAAGCACCGATTCGGGCTTATTTGTTCCGGGCCCATTTTTGGCATTTTCCAAAGGGGTACCATCACAGATTTCGGGCGATTTTTTGGAATTATCATTTTTGTTGGATTTTGGAGGTCACAGATCGCGGATTCGGTCTCAGGCGATCTGGGGCTATTGTCCACTGATGATGAATTTAATTAATCGCCGATTTGGCGAAAAATGTTCTGGGAGGCATTTTTGTAATTTTTCGCGCGCTTTTTCGGATGGCCATTTTCCTTAGTTTTTGTAGGCTTCGGATCATGGATTCGGTCTGAGGCTATCCTTCACCGATGGTTAAGTCTATTAAGCACCGATTGGGTTGTATTTGTTCCGACCCCATTTTTGGCATTTTCCAAAGGGGTACCATCACAGATTTCGGTCGATTTTTCGGAATGGTCATTTTTGTTGGATTTTGAAGCTTACAGATCGCGGATCCCGCCTGAGGCGATCTGGGGCTATTGTCCACCGATGATGAAGTCAATTAATCGCCGATTTGGGCGAAAAATGTTCCTGGGGACATTTTCGTAATTTTCTGCGCGCTTTTTCGGAAGGCCATTTTCCTATGATTTTGTAGGCTTCGGATCACGAATTCGGCCTGAGGCTATCCTTCACCGATGGTTAAGTCTATTAAGCAACGATTCAGACGTATTTGTTCTGGGCCCATTTTAGGCATTTTCCAAATGGGTATCATCACAGATTTCGGGCGATTTTTTGAAATGATAAATTTTTTTGGAATGATAATTTTTTAGGGCGGTTCCGCGGACTGTCAACTGGGTTGCCCATAGAATGGCACTAAAAGCCCTGCTGTTGTCTCGGTTAGAGTAGCTTCTTTTGACTTTGTAAGTGGCTTGTTAGTGGGGTTGAGAGGGAGTATAGGTAGTGTTTGTTCTATCTATCTCTTTGATCTTACTCGGACAAAAAAAACGCAGTTGGTATCCTGTAAACACTAAAAGTGTAAGCTAATAAATCTCTTTAATCTCTTAACAAAGCTGCTACAGCATGGCCATCTGGAGTACATCATCAATATTAAGTTAAGTACATAATTAGACGGCAATCCAGCTATTAATAAAAACAAATCTGCATAACTACGACAAGATATTCGTTAACATGACACAACAATCCAATAATAGAAGAGACCCATTCAACACGGTTTCAACAACTGGGAAGGCCACCTAATACGCAAACATCGTTAACAATCCAAAATTAACAGCAAAAAGCTCAACTGGAGGGAACATAATCAAACGGGAAGAAAGAAACATCTTTCTGCAATTTATTCCTAGCGGTGTAGATTGTGTTTGGTTACAGAGAAAAAGAATCAAGAACCCTAAAACTGGGATGATGGATGCAGCAACAGCAACAGCAACAGCAGAGCATTGATAAAGGAAAAATGAAAGGAAAATTAGCAGGAATACCCCACCATTTATCCCTCCACAAGAATCAGAAATGAGTAGAAACCTGAATAAAAATATGCATTTACAGGGAAGAGGGAAAAAAATATGAAATTGGAAAGAGAAGAAAGAAACTCACTGACCGAATTTCTAACTTCCCATCTTTCCTTCTATTCCTTGCATGATACGGATTTATGTTGTGTTCTCCTGCCCATCTGTGCAGCGAATCCTGCCGAGCCCCAATTTGAGGTCCTGCTGCACAAAAGAATGAAAATCTCCTCCTAATCTGGGGTTTGTTTGGTTGATTGGTTGGTTGGTTGGGTTAATAATAATCTGCTGCTGCTAGCTGATGTTGATGTAGACACACCGGTTGCGCTGCTCCAAGAAAAATCGAATCTTGTTGGATCATTCTGTGCTGTTTTGTTAGAAGCCCCCCATTAGAGAAAAATCAAAAGTTAGCTTAAGTCAGGCTCTAGTAATTGATGATGATGTTGCTTGCTTCAGATGAAAGTCAATCTAATCTGCTCTGTGAAACTAGAAACGAGGAGGAGGGGCCTTTGACTTTGAGACGCTTTGGCCCGACCTCTATGGGGGGAGCAGCCTCCCTTCTTCTGCCTAGCTCATGATGGAATCCACCCAGTCTTTGATACTCTCTGTGCCTACTCAATGCTTCCTCGGTGGCGACCTTCTTGATCTTTATTGAGATGGGAGCCGCTAGGCTTCTCCTAGGCAATCTGTCCCTATCTTTCAAGACACTACTACTACTGCCAAAAGCTTCTCGACCTTCCGAGTAGGACAAAGAATTTCGACTCGAAGATCCACCAACCCGAGCTGAGAACTCCGACGCTGAAGATGTTGACTGCCCGCACCTTCCTCCATCCCCATGGTGCTTCTTCAGTCGCTTAAGCCCCTGAGCCAAGTAACGAACAATGTAAGCATTATAGCATTAACTGGAAACATCCGGCATATAGGACATGTTTCCTTCATCTTATAAAAAATGAACAGATTCAGAGAAATGTTCACTTGACTTTGTTAGATTAGCTAAAACTAGAACACCCATTTCAGGTTTCATCCAAGTTTAACTATTGCCTGAAAAATCAAGTGAGACCTCTGTACTGTGAAACTGTACCTGGCATTCAGGATCGTTCCTGGGGAAAGAGGAATCACTAACAGCTCGCTTCTGAACTTTCAGAGAAGAACGACGCTTAACTCTAAATATCTCTGAATCTGAATCATCACTGTAATGATCTACACGAGGCCTAGGCTCCACAGCATGATTATTCCCCTGCTGGATCTTTGAGCATGTATCCCTCAACTCCGATGACCTTGAGAACCCAAGGGTCCTGTCCAATTCTTCTTGCATCAGATCTCTAGAGTCAATACTCCCTATGGTGTTCAGGTCAAGCAGGTCCTTTTCCTGTTAAGAATTTAAAGATGCTTAAACAATCAATGTATAGGAAGTAAACCTCCAACTTACATCAGTCACCTAAGTGTGCCAAATAAGGTATAAGAAAATGCAAACAGGTATCAAGTGAAGCTCCAACTTACATCAGTCACCAAAGAAGAACACTCTACTTTCTCCCCCGAAGAAGATTCCACATGAGCAGAAACTTCCGAAGCGGAATGACCACAAAACTCGTATTTTATTTCACAGTAAGGATTGTATCCATCCTTCATGTCATTATGCAACTTATCAGATGAAGGGTACAAACACCAATCATCACTGGAGCCAGACTCTTGCATCTCCAGCACTATACCATCTTCATCCTCAAATTTCTTGGCGGCTGCTTCCAGTTCTATAATTTCCTCTCTCAAGAATAGAGTAAGATTTCTGCCACAAGCGGAATCCAGAGATGCAACATCTGCATAACAAATATCCATAACCAGTAGCATAAGCACCAAAAGAAACTAATAAAACTCAAAACACTTGTAATTTTTGAATGAGAGATTAATACCATGACGAAGGCACACAGGATGCAAATCACAGTTGCAGTTAATGAAAGCTACATAGCAGTCCCGCTTGCATAAGCTGCAGAGGATAGTGCCATAGGTGTTTATCTGAAGGCCAGTACATGCCCCTGATTTGGATAGAACCCAGCGAGCACGATGCTGAAAACGCATAAGCTTTGCGAAGGAGACTTTGACACTATGCTGAGAGGCCAAGTCTCCAGAGGAAGAATAACTCGAGTCTTCAAGATCCACCTGTGGATAGAGAAGCATCGCTTCTTTACACAGAAGTTCTTCATGAGGAAGCAAAGGCATCCTGTTGAGGAAGGCATAACGGCGGCTGGCCACAGCTCCCAAATGGAACCAATCACCAATCGCAAAGTTCACAGCCTCCCCACAATTGAAACCTATAATTTTAGAACGAAGATGAAATAAGCATTCTACAAATCGCCAATAAATTCTTAGTCATGTAAGTACCTAATATATCGCACAGATCATACCGTGGCTAAACCCTGCATGATAAGCTCTAGGAAATGTGATGATAAACTCGCCAGGCTTCTGAACAGCCTTGTAGACAGGGACTTCATTTTCCAACAATATATTTGGTGGAAATAGAGTTGTTTTCCCCAGAAGCACATCAAAAGCTCCATCCACACCATCAGCTGACAGAATATCGTGTGTGTATACATGTTCCCTGACGACCTTTTCAAACTTAAGTGCTGCATGGCCGGGAATCCCATACCAAGTTTTGGCAGCCCCACAGTGATGGTAGTTGATACTGTGATAAAATATTAATGAAACGGGTTCAATATATAATACAAAAATCAACATGTCTGAGTGCACAGCCAAATGAAGCGTTAAATTGTACCTATACAAATAGTGATCTTCCACATGCCAAGCAAACACGCTGAATAACATTCCGATATAAAGCATTGGATCAGTTACCCCCTGTAGCAAGAATAACATAAGCAAAAGAGGAAAAGGATGCAACTAAGTAAAGGCCAAAAGTGAAGCTGGATTGAGTTCTTACTGGAATGGCATTCTCCAGAAGACGTAAAACAGATTTTGGCAGCCGTGATAGATTCTGAGAAGACAAAATATAGTCAATCAGCAAGACGGAGATTGAGAAAGTTATTTCTAGAAGCCCACTGATAAGAAGCAAAGAATTGCACCAATTAAGAAGCTCATCAACTATATTTGTAAATATTACACCAACAAGCATTTTTTTATAATGGTGAGAATAGCATTAGAGGGAACAGACAATAATCAAAAGTCAATACAATGGCATGGCATAAGAAACAAGCATCATAGATGTCAGATTTTGGCTAAGCTTTGACAACCATAAGAAACATCTTGATATTTGAGAACCACATCTAAATTTAACCAAGATAAAAACAAATTTCTACTTCTCTCATCAAATTGATACTATCAAATCTCTCTCACCATGAAAATCGCATCCATCGCGTAATATTGCTACTACGAATTGCAACGTTACAAGTTCCAAGTTTGCATTTAAAACAGTATCAATGATTCAATGTGATCCATTGCCATAGCACGTGAATTAGAATTGTAGCACTCATGATCAAGCCAGATAAAGTATTATCTGATTGTACCATTATTCAGGAGAGTTGTGAAGGGGGAAGTGAAATCAACACCTTTAAATTCCATTTGCTACTTCCAAGTGGATCAGTCGGAGAGGACGAAAAGGCAGTTCCATCAACATCACATGCGTATTCAACCGTTTCTGTCTTTCCACAACCAATTTCCTTCCAGAATTCTTGTTCCATGTATGTTGCAGGGAGACCACCAGCACTACAGTATCTACGTGCAAAAACCTTGTTCGCCATTTTCTCGAAATCACGGAATGTATAGTTCCTGAAAGATGTTATATCAACAGTTAAACGGATAAGCAACACATACTCCGAAGAGAACGAGTATATGTATACACCAAATAAAAATCACCTTCCACTCATGAAAAATGTGACCCGGTCATCACTATCCCACTCTGCAAGACGAAGGGGCTGTACTCTAGTGGTGAACTTAAACCCTGCTTTTTCCCGCATTAATACAACCCCAGCAGGAACAGAAGCACTCAGAGGAGATATAATCTTGCAAATACCTGGGGGGTAACAAAATAGAGGAGAATGAATGCCAAATCAGTAACAAGCTGTTGCCATCAAGATAGTATCAGAGAAACTAGCGTATAAACGCTAAATTAGTAAACAAGCGGTTGCCATCAAGATGGTGTCAGCGAAACCTCACTCCGTCACTTGTTTGTAGATATTAGAGTCCAGCCCAGCCTAAAATAGATAGGGGCTTCATAATAACAACATAAATACACCCACAAAAAACACTAAAAACGAATAACAAGGAGAAAATTGAGAGAAGTACTAACGTAGTGATGAATTATCATGTAGAATAGAGTACTGATGTAATGAAGGAATTATCATGCACAAAGGTCCATAATTTTCAGCAATAATGACTTGGTCCAAACCAACTAACAGAACTCATTTCCAGTTTCTAAGAATCCAATACATTCTATAGCACAATATAAACACCATCAAGGAGCTGAGAAAGATGTGAATTACCATATTTTGAAGCTTCGGCAGCAATTTTCTGCAAGTACACTAAAGGATCCTCAAACTCCTCCCGCGTTGGATGGTACACAGGGCATTCAGGAATTTTCTCTGTCCATTGCAAGTCACTTGTATCGAATTTATTCACCTTCCGCTTCAAGAAAGTGTCGTTTCCATTCGTGCTGCTGTTTGAATGAGCAAATGAACCTGCAGTACCAGGCAATCTAACACCACATGATCCTGAAGCCCTCAAAGCATCTCCTCCACTTCTGCTCATCATGTTGGGAATACCAACAGTCTCTGTACTACTTACTGGTTTCATCCGCTGAAGCCTCTTTCTCTTAATAATGTCTAACCCATTTCCAGCTTCTTTTGATAAGCAGACCCTTCCTTCCACCTTCAGAGCAGCGAAGCATGGCATCAGAATATGTTTTTGTAAATATCAACTTAAACAGAAGGTGAAAGAAATAGAATTCTCAGCGTCACAGCTGTAAACATACTGCAACTCAGTTAAACACGATAGGGTAAGTAGGGCATTCGCATTAAGCACGCAAGTCAAAGATGGGCTTGCTACTGCTTCTAGATTAACGGGAGCCACGCCCAGTGATAGAGATGTGCCCATGAGATCTCCAAATGAGATTATACAGGGAATCTCCAATCATCAAGAAAGAATAAACCCATTAAGCAAAGAAGTTCTCGCGGCAGTTCATCCTGGTAACTGAACAGCCATCAATATGCAGCTGCTTGCCCCACCTCAAAGCAGCTTAGTCAAGAGATTCAGCTGCTTCTGTGTTGGATAAGCCAACCATGATTCCTAATCAATCATGTGTTGATATTACTCTTTACTGTCCTAGCCCCCATTATGAGGAGGCGACTTTCAACTACAAAAGCCCAAAAAGAATACCTCCCTAGAATGTTCAAACGAAACAGCACCATAGTTGAATTCAAAAGAAGGCATCAATCACTGGGTCAAGGCACAAAAGACCACGTCAACTAATCATGAATCGCCACAACCGAGGCCGGGGACTAGGCCTCTCTGGCTGGACCCATGTTGAATATTTCGTCAAAAGATGGTTAATTCCAAAGAACCCAGCACTAATTTCCAAACACTCCAAAGCCTTAGATAGGTGACCAAACTCCATCTAATGAACCCTCTGCAGGGTTCCTCAACAGTTTTTCAACCTCTTGCATGCCCCTCAAATCCTCAAAATAAAACCCCATACGCATTCACACGGTAGTTTCTGTACAAGTCAACTAAAGTACACAGCTTAAAACCTTCCACCCATCTCACCCCTGAAAGCAATTATAATAAGCAATTTCCGCCTAAAAGATTATCGAAGCACCACGAATTTAATCTTGCATGCACCCTATTGGCTGATTACACCAAGCAACAGATTTGAAGTAAGCCTGGATAAGCTTTTACCCAAACAAGAAAACTCAAGAAATTTCTAAATTTGTTTTCCGGAAGCAATAGTAACCAGAAACTAAATTCTCAGGAGCTGCAAAAAGGATGAGAGCCTCCCAATCAATTGAATCAATCAGAGAAGAAAGAAAACAATTGCTACGCCTCCTCGAAGATCTCAAATCAACCAGTTTTTTAAAAATTAAAAAAATATATATATATATTGAAAAACGGGCAACAATGGCCAAGCATTTGATTCACATACCATCTCATTCCTCGGTGGCACTCTGTAGGCCTCCGTCTTCGTCGAGTTCTTCTTTCCCTTAATCACCAAACCGGAATCAACAAAAGAAGAAATAACACACGAGGGATCCAAAACCCTAGATCACGATCTCCGCCACGGAAACTTCAACCCAAGGCCTCTACGATGGACCTAACAGCCCACATTCTCTGAAAACGCGTTAAAATAGAAGGCCGCGAGCCAAGCCGGGAGATCTGACCGCTCTTCCAGCCGGAAACTGCGAATCCGACAAGCCTCAATCCCCGGAATCTTCGAATTCTCACCGAACGAACGACGAGCGGAAGCTTCTTGAAGCGATGAAACAGGCGTCGGGGCCGACGGGGAGAAACGAGCGGTTTCCCGGCGAGCGCTGAGGGGTTTCCCGGCGGAGGGAGCAGAGAGGAAGAAAGTAACGGAGACGAAAAAGGAACAGAGAGAGAGAGAAACCGAATGGCTTAGAAAACCAAAACCGGAAAAAGATGTACCGAGAGGATAATTTATAGGTTTTATATTGGTACGAAATATTTGCCAACTGTTTTTTTTTTTTTCTTTTCTTTTGTCCCTTTCCTTCTCGACTTCGGAAATTCTTTTTAATTAATTAAAAAAAATTGCCAGTCCCAACTACTAGTGGAGTCTCTAATTGAAGTATTGTTACGGTTTTCTGCTCAGCAAGGTTCTCAACCTGCAGAGTGACCCTCTTTGATCCCGATATGGTGAGAAAAAATGGATCACACATACTTGTTGGAACGACCGTTGCAAGGTAACAGGTTGGAGGTCAAACTATATTATTTTTTTCTTAAGTTTGCGAAATGTGCCTATTTTTTAGATTTTCTTTTTTGTGTAACCCAATCTTTTTAATTCTATGTTGGAAATTTGAATATTGATGTTACATGAGTGTTTGAATTTTCACCATAAGTTGGATCCAGACACGTCAAGTTATTTTGGGGTAATTTTATATGTTATTATTCATATGTTTGATAAAATTTGATATAATTTATAAATGTATGGACAAAATAATGACTATTTTCATATATCCGGGCTAAAGCGGTCGGCCCATTAACCCTCAACCCATTTGCTTGACCTGGCCAATGGGCTAAATCGGGTTGACAACCTTGCTGCTCAGCAAATAATCGTGCATCTCTACAATGGATTTCATGAGTTTAATTTTCTCAATTTCAATTTCGTATAAATAAAAAAGCTACATATGTCATTATAGTTATTTATTTTTTATTGAAAAAATATCAATGTTGAAATTTGAACCTATGTCTCTTCAAGTAAAGACAAAAAGTATAATCACTTACACTAAACAAATTCATTTGATCTTCCGAAATTAAAAATATACATTAAGCCAAATTCTAAAAATAACAGGGCTATTCCATCACGGTTAGTTAGCCTACTAAGTTTTCTTTAGTATTCTTTGATGTTTGGTACTTTGATTTTCATATTTTAATTATTTTTATTCAAATTTGATAATTAATTTAATCTATGTCTATCTTGTAAATGATGGATAAATCGCAACCCAAATATTATTTATTGATATTTCATATCATATAGCATTATTAAATATCAAATAGCAATATTATATGTAGACTTTTCAAATTAGTATCAATTTTTAAAACTATTATGAAGCAACGATATTTTATGCAAGCTATAAACAACGGTTCTCTTAAGTTTTTAGTTTCGTTACTCTCTAATTGTCAAATCTCTTGCTAATATGCCATGATTGTACTCAACCATCATGAGACGAGGAGCTGATATACTGGTTAACTTCACCAATTTTCAGTGCGTTACTCAATTTGTAGGACCAGGACAAATAACTCAATAAAAATGAATCTAATTATTCATTTTGATTATTTAGATAAATAAAACCATTTAAATCATGTATTAACTTTATATTCACTCGGTTGGTTGAAAGAGTTTTATTTTATCATCCACAAGAAATTTTTTATAATATTGTGACCTTTAAAATCATTTATGTTTGGTTTAGAAGTATACTTATTATTTGTGATAGTTGGTTGAAAAGTAATATTTCGTTAGGTAGTCAAAGTCGAGTACTGAATGCATTTATTGAATGCCTTTTAGCTTGGTGTTAGGAACAAGTATAAACTTATTAATCCAAATGCGTATAACTATGAATTAAATATTTCATTTCTGTTAAAATATTTAGGTATTCCCTAACATTAAGTAACCAGACCCATTGACACCAATTGCATCACCAAAATTCATGATTCAAATGCTCATGTATTGTTTTTAATATTCATGATATTTTTCTGAAATCGTGAATCTGTTTTTAGAAAATTATATTCTCACAAAGAGTGATTATTTGTTTGTGGATTGAAGTACTTTATTTAATTAAAAGCTTAAAAAATATTTATAATAGTTTCCAATTTTGATCGTTATAATAGTCTTTAACTATCCTCATACGTCAATGTCATATCTTATCAATAACATGAGTTCATACAAATGAATTTAAAGAGTAACACTTGTATATTTAACAACTGAATAGTTAATGCAATAGATTTCTACATACAAATATAAGTGGAGAGCTATCAATGGATTTAATGGCCGTATTAGGTGAACTTTGAGTTTGTTTACTCATGTGGTGAGAGTTAGCTTTGAACATATCAAACAAATGCACAAATTATCAATGTGAATGACACATACACCTTGCGCTAGATTTGAAAAAAGGATTTTTTTTTACTTTTAGGCCTTCATTGTGAGTAATTTTACCTCATACTCATAAACACAGTGAAACAAATAACTAAATTTTTTATTTGATAACCCAGGGAACCTCAGCCCCATGTGCCGCTTGAGCGACAGCAGGGCCTACTAAACCACTGGGGGTATCTGCATACTAATGGGGGCTTTCTGCTACCAACATCGGGGAGGCTTCGCCTCCGATACCAAGGGTGCCGCTGGGAACACTCAAGTGGCGCCACTGGGAATCGAACTTGGGACCTCCCACATCCAAAACTCAATTGGTCGAGTGGTTTCACCACTAGGCTATGTTACCTTTGGCAACTTAATGGGGGTTGGTTGTTACCTCCCACATCCAGAGCTCCCAACTTGTGTTTCTTTTTTTTTATAAGAAAGAAAACGGAACAAGTGTGATAAGAACAAAATGGGGGTTGGTTGTTTGGTGGTTTAACCAAACACATTGCATCTCACACTGCAAAATTTTCGTTTCTTTTAGCGATTCAACGTTTTTGAGTTTTACCGATTCACAAATCACAATAACTTTATTTCGGTAGTATTGCAAAAAAATGAACATTTGATCTTCTATCTAATATTTTATTCGATCGATTCGTCTCTAGTAGTATATTATTATTACCTCGAGCTTGGTTAGTTGGATAATTTTCTATCTACCACTCATTATTCAAATATAATAGCACATGGGTAATAATATTAAGTGGGTTCTGAAATCTCAATTTCATATGCTCCCAATTTTTTGGTCCGTGCATGTCCAACGCACTATGTGACAAACGCCACATATCATTACACAAAGAAATCGGGTGGATGGATCAATCATTGATCGATGAGAAAGGGCAGCAATGCATACAAAACTGTTGCATGTAAATTGACGTGCAATCACGAAGAGGATGTGGAAGTGGAAGGGACAACTCTCTCTATTTGCAAACAAACAAAACAAAAGCAATTATAATTTGTGGCATTATTGCATACACAATGGGGGGAAAAAGATACGCATATATAGCTTAATTAGTACTTTATTTCTTCTTCCTTAGTATGATGAGATCAAGTTTGTCCCTTGATGTTGAAGTTAGTTTGTACATAGTTGTATCAAACTTATTTACCTTATCCTTATCTGTTGATGTTGGAAATTTATTGATTTTATCTGCCTGTCGGTTGGGTTAGACGATGGTGTATAAGAGAGGTATGATGATATATCCTGACAAAATCAGGGAAGGGATCGGGCTTTTAGACTTGAATGAGTTTTTAAGATGTTAGATCTAAATTTGTTTGATTATCATGTTGGAAGTGGGAATTCCTAAGAAAAAAAAGAGAAGAAGAATGTGATGAATGACTATCAGCTTAGGGTATATAAAAGGAGTATTTTTTTTTTTTAATTCCTGAATGATACCAAGAGAGGATAAGAGTTATACAAACAAAACTACCCATGAACCTCTTACAAGCGACATCCTAGTGAAACCACCCAATAAAGCCGAAAGACCCTAACTCTAGGAGAGACAATATCAGTGCTTTATACGCCACTCTATGGGCAGCACTATTGGCGGCTCTAAGAATCACCCTAAACTCTATACAAACTGACAAAGATTCTAGGATCAGCCGACACTCCCGAAGCATTGGACCTCCAAAGGAATCTTCTAGGACACCTTGTCAGATCTGTTTGACGACTGTTAAATCAGAGTGTGATATGATTTAAACAATAATCAACTCTTGAACTGAAAATGAGACTTTTATTTGAATGAAAATGTTCAGTACAAGCAACACTAAGCCAAGCCAAGCAGCTTGGCTCTTTTGAACAGAGAAACAGAAAATCACTCGACAATCACTCACTCCCCAAGATTGAACCGCCCAGTACAAACAGATACCCTGCGATTCTTTCTACTGGAATGAAAATACCCTTTTGATCTAAATTGAAAGAAATCCTCAACCCAGAAGTTCTCACAATTCCCTCTCAAAAGTACAGTCTATACAGTTTGAAGAACATACATCTTTATACTAAGGGGAGAAGCAGACCGTTACCTAGAATCAGTCTTGCAGTAGCCTAAATGATGTTTCTCGTATAGAGTCGGTGCGAGGAGGAGCGGGATATAGGAAAGCTAGGGATTTCGAGAGAAGAGGAGAGGCGAAATGATCGAGATTGCTGGTCTGTGATCAGCAAGCGAGGAGTCCAGAAGTTGACTTCGAAGGATGATCTCTTAGGCGAAAACGACGTCACTTTGTTATGGGAGAGGACGAACCAAAACGTCGACGTGTGGATTTAGTTTGCAAGTAGAGGAGTCGTTTTGGGTCAACAACGACCACCTCGGAATCACCTTCCACTATCACATGAGTCAAGGATCTTGAGGCGAAGATAGTGATGACATCTTATACTGCTAGGAACTCTGCCAGGTAGGGGTTGGCTACTCCCTGGTGACGCATACCGACTGCCAGCACCACATGCTCGTCTGACCCACGGATAACAAGACCAGACGAGCATCCTACATCGAAGTTGATCTTCAATTAGTCTTTTGTTGGAGGCTTCCAAGTGGCGGGATGAGGATTTGGGGGAGGTGGAAGAGGGGTGAACATAGGAGGAGTACTACTTGGCAATTAGTGGTCTTAATGTGAGAACTTCTTGATCATGTAATTAGGCACATATTTGATGCATGTATCATTGGACTATTGGAGTCTATATCGTGGAAAAGAAAGAAGCATGCTGGCTAAGAAAAAAAGAAAAAGCAGTACGGATTGTCTTCATTAGGACGGGTCAGTGTGGAAG